GAAGCACTTTTACTGTCTCAAAAGGTGATGACAGACACACAAAAATAACTCAAATTATGATAGTAAAATYAATACATTCCTCGTTCCTCCCAGAATCTAAAATATAGTTTTTTTTTTCTAAAATTATTATTTGAATTATCTTCAATGCATCAATTGACACTACTTCAGTAAAAATTCTCTTTCTGTATTYGATCAGACATCAGTTTAATAAGTAAATCTCAATATTATTTTTGTCTAATCCACYATAATATACGGACGTATATTACGCGTGCTCGCACRCACTTATTCACTAAGTTACTTAATATGAAGAATTCCRTATAAAATACTCCTAAATCAATGAAAACAAATTAAAAAAATTGTGTGTCTAAATATATACCACATATGATACATTGATGGATGCAGTTTTCTGTTAAGTAAGTACCCATRTTCATTGATGCTTYGAATTGTGTGTTAAGGCACTGTATCAAGTGTTTGAGAAAAATATCACTTTTTTAACGATGGAAGTTAAAAAATTTATGGTGGYCTGATACATGCAAAAATATATTTTTGATTTTCTAAAGTTTAACAATTATTTATGCTTGCGGGTTTTTATTATTTCACTATAATTCAAAAAATAGTATACGTAGGATGTACGGATTGTATGGCCATGTAATTTTTTGTTACTATGAGTGCTCAACAGAATATTTTTATTAGGGATTAATATTAATGTTATGTGTWATTAAAAACAAATGTAATTAAGTAAAAGTATAGTTAAAATCAATAAAATCTACTCCTTARTTTTAAAATGTATGTGTATGTTTTAAAAATTGACCAATTAGTTTTTTTAAATTCCTTAACTTTATTAAAATATGACATTAAATATTTCCTCTTTTCCGCCAAGCCACCGTCATGATTTATAAATGTTCAGTAATATTTACTTATAGTAATAAAATCCTTACTGAAAATTTACTCAATGTTAATAAATATAAACACTTAGACACATAAAAATAAATTTAAACYAAAAGTAATTATATACTTGAAATTAAATCCTTCATAAAATTTAACAGTTAACTTTTAGACAAGTAGTACTGTAAGTCTGTAACTGTATTAAAGAACAACTGTAACATTATGTAAAACTATTTTATTTTAATTTGGTAAAAATTTGGTACTCATAAGTACCAAACTATATATATAATATAATATTTGCATTTTTGATTACTTCTTAAAATATATGGTTATAAATTTTATATAAAAAAATCAATGAACATTTTGAACAACATTACAAAAGCTATCTTATTGACATCACTTTGACCAATTTATGTCAAAAACTTATTTGAAAAGAATACTTTTTTTATGTAATATACAAAATATTTAAATATATTCATAAAATGTAATAATTATTCGACAAAACAATGAGATGTATTTTAAAACTTTATAAACAATGAATTCCAAATCTTATATAGCTTAATATTAAATATACCTATTTAACATATTATTTCATCTGTCTACAATCTGGGCGCTTACAAAACACGACTTACCAGTTTAATTTAGAAATTATATTGCACRTGATGAATGCAAAAAGCAGTTTGATGAATATGCTCGTTTAATGCTAGAAGTCCTATGGTTTTGCATGTTTAATTGGCTTCACTTGTTATTAAATTAAATTAATACAACATTAAACAATTTAATCCAAAYTGAACRAACTTATAAAATAAAAACTTGAAACTTAACACTATCATATATTTATAAATATATATATATTTAAAGTCATGTTACTTAGAATTTTTATTTTTAACATAAAAAATATTATTAATAATAAAAGAAATAATAATAGTTATAATAATAAAAAAATTCTTAACTCTATTATTCAATAATAATTCTAAACATCTATCACTAACATTTCGGTATAAATGTTGTTTTTTTGTCACGTGATGTTATATAAAAAAACATAAAAACACAAAAACACAAAACCACTGTTCTAATTAGTCGATTAGGTWAAATACAGATTCAATTCATGACCTTAAAATAGACAGCCATTCCAAGGGTTATGTACAATTAAACAAAAATAATAATTATAAAGGTGGATGTAAATTTAAGTAAATCACGACATAGAACTACATGTCAAGCGAGGCGAACCCATTTGTGTGAGAACCCTGTCCAACCATTGTAATGGTCCATTCAGATGTAGTTCTATCCAACAAGGGGTAGATGTGACTGTTTGTCGCCTATGAATAMGATCAAATACAGTTTCATATAAAGTAAAACGTATTGAGTATAATATAAAATAATAAAAAAGCAATTATTATTTACCTATATTCGGCGCCCCAGCCCTTAACGAAAGACATACGTATTGTACACATACGAGTTAACTGGTATACCGCTTCAAAACCTTGACTCACTGATTGCGATAGAAGAGATGCAAATTCTTGGTTGTTGAAGATTTTTAAATTACAACCTAAATTAGCAATAATAAAAAAAAAAAACAATAAATTATTAGTAACCAAATTTAGAACCATATAAGAATAGTGAAAAATTAGTTACTTAATTAAAAATGATTAAAAAAAAAAAAAAATAAATTTAAGTTTTAAATCTAATTTATACCAGTAAATAGAAAACAGAGAATTTTATAGAATATTATAAGAAGGATGAATCAAATAGTAATATTTATTTTAAGAAGTGTTAACTATATTCAACAGAAACAGGACAAAATATCATGTTCATGTATGATTAAATCATATAAAAATTATTATTTTTTAATAGGTTAAGTTATCCTTTATCAACCAATTCAAGGTAAGAATTACTGTTGAAGTTYTTATAGTTTTCACTTTTTATTTATGCTCAGTATGTATGATTATTGATTGAAAATGTAATTAATTTTCATGTATAACAATCAAATTCAAGAAAATCTTTTTTCTTACAAACTTAACAAACAATTAATAGATGTGTTGCGTTTCTACAATACTTACAATAATATTGAAATAAATAAATAAAATTGAATATGTAGTAAATTCAAAGTTGCCATATTTATTTTACTTGAACCTGGGACAAATATTCTTGTATAATTTTCATGGAAAAAATCTTACTACTTCTCTATGGTCAACCACCAGTTATAACAGCATATTTTTTTGTTATTGAAATACCACATACGATGGTCGACGCTCTAAAAATATTTATAAGGTAGAAACTAACTCAATGTTATAAATTGTAATGAGTAACCGACAAAATAATTAATTAGTGATAACAAAAACCTTGTATGAAAACAGGAAAACAATCACCATAGTCACATTATTAAGACCGGTATAGTCTTGAACAAATCAAGATGTGTGGAGACCTTAAGAAAAATATTCATTAGCATAAAAAAGGAAATTGAAATKCGTGTAGATAAGATTTATACAATTAAGTACATACTTATATGATAAAAATCATGGCTATATAATATATAATAAAATATATTTAGGTTTATATTAGTKTATCACAACATTAAAATATTAAATAAATCTATAAGACGATCAATTAAACATACCTGGAGGTATTTTACAAACAGTGGCTGGATGCCATCCATATCTCTGATTACAATTAGGTGACTGTACAAAAATACTAGAATCRCTAAGGCATTCTGCAAATACTTCACCGCCAATGTAGTAGAGCCGAACACCTTTGCCGATATGTCGTCTAATCTGTTCAACTACATTAGTCCTGTTGACGTTTGACAATAGACCCAAGCAAAATCGTTCGGAATTACTGGGATCTGAAATTAATAAAGGAAATCGTTTAAATGTGGATAATTGATGCATAGCATGTAACCTCAGTTACCTGTGAAGCCGTCAACCGATATAGAAGGTTGAGAAGCATGGAACGTCTCTCCAACTCTGGTATTGAGCTCGTAATAGCTAATTGAGCACCAAAACACAGGTTCGCAATAGAGGACGGGTTGGGTGTCCAGCACTCCCATCACTGTAGGGTTGGGACTCATACCTACACACATCGCATACATTAGAGAAAAGATATGACGGTTAACAAAATACATCAGAGTCGGGCTGTCACCATTACTACTGCAGTGGTACTACCTACTATAGCCGAACTACTCACTGTGAGATTCGTTGTTGTCTCCGTCCTCGGACATGTAGCCCGGCGGTGTGGTCGGTGAATCCATCATCTCGGCAGTGTGAAGCGATATCCAGAAACTGTTCGCAAACTGCAACGAGCTAACTCGCTCCGGGAGGCCGGCAAACTGGAAACCAGAAACAGGAGTCCGGGGTAAACGGAAAATTAAAAATTCGTCTTTTCCGGCACGCGGCACTATGACACAAGGACGCAATAGTACAATAATACACGAGACGACGAAACAACAAACAACGATAAATCCCGGCGACCGACAGTCTTAGAGAAATTAGAATATAAATCGACGGTACGTCACGSACCGGCGCCTCCTACGCTATCTTCGAACGTACCTGTCCGGTCTACAGACTGCTAGTTGCTACAATCAATGTTAAATCGGGACTGTTTTTTTTTTTTATTCCCATTATTTTTTGCGCCTCGTTTCTGAGCGTTGTCAATCGTCACACAGACACACATACACACAGACACACACGCCTTGTCGTTTGCAGTTTGCACGGTAAGACACAGGCGCTCGCRACAATCGCAACACACCGCCACCGCGTTTGTAGATGGCGCTCGTGGCCAAACGCGGACGAGTTCGAAGTGTCTTTGCAATTTTTGGCGAAGGCCCCCCGTACGTTGGCCCGCACGCGTGAGGGTCGTGGCCCGTGAGAGTCAGCTTCCGATAATCGAAAGATTCCACTCGACCTACCGGCCTATCGTCATAAATCATGATACATATTAAAAATAAAAACAGACGACATAATCGTGGATTAATTTAAAGTAGATAAACTGTATGTCCGTAATATATCGTAGCACGGGGAGAAGTAGACCAGTTTTTGGAATATTTTTTCAGATTCTGAAGAAAACGGATGAAACGATGCTTAATTTTTTTTTTTATTGCATTTAAATTAATACCTACATTACATTCTAATTTCTAACTCAATTAATTCTTACATAATATGATATATAGTTGAATTATCCCTTTAAGCAGATGCTTGTTATGACTTTATGAGACAATTGAGTTATTATGTATTTCAAATTATATTATATTTTACAATTGTAATTATTGGAAGGTGAATACATTTTTTAATGAATGGTGGGCTGAAGAAAAATAATCKCTATATTTTGAAATCAACTTCAATATGACACGCATATGTATTATACCTTTTTTTTTCCGTTCAAAAAACCGGKAACGGTATATGTATTATACCTAGTTCAAACTTCTAAACAGTATGGATATTGTCACCCGTTGATAATTTTTAAAATCRTAAAATTTTGTTGATGAAACAAACAACAACTGCCAAACAGGCACGTCGTAATGCCGTTTCATTATTTGACACCGAGCACCCAAGCAAGAAAAGTCATCATCGTAACGCCGTTATATTATAATATAATATTATATTATATTACCGATTTATATTATATCGATTTAAAAGGTTTAGAGCCTCTTAATTTTAGGTAACTACATATTATTTTATAATAGATCTCTCAACTTACTTTACAAGTGTTATATATATATAGTATATACAGTAACAGTAGTGTGTTCACTGATTTAGGGAATACTGAATTTCTCGGCCGGATTTGTTTGGAATAAATCGATTTTTTTTTACAAACTGGTATTATATTATGAATACACATTTTTCGATACGTTTCAAAATTTTTTGAGAATTTGGTTTGCGCATGCGCAGTAAAAAACTTTTCTTTTAAAAAGCAACACCTATTTTTAACACCATATTCGGATAGGCCTATTTTTTTGAAGTAATTTTCATGCATCAACTATGGCTCTAAGTTCAATATTGACTGAATAAGAGCCATGTCAATTTCATTAAATAATACATTTTTAAAATTATTTTTAAACATTTATAATTAATTCTTATTGGTTAATTTTTGAATATTTGTACGAATTTTTRTTTTAGAAATKTTATAAACACGACTAACATAAGATGGATACAAAATTATTTATTAAAAATCGACTAGGTACAACTGGTACAAATGAACAATAGTTATTWTATAATTACACAATAAATTAAATAAATTGTTCAACCATTATGCATACTAGAATAAATTATATATGTTACGGGCAAAGTATACAATTTGGGCATTTTATACAATGCCCTATATTGGGCAATATAGATATCTTTTGTATTTACCTCGTGTTCCATATTATTGTTTCGTCCACCATGTCCAATMTATAAATGAACATTATGTATAACATCAAATAACTTTTCATTATGTACATAATATTTAATTTCGTTATTTTCAGATACTGCAGGTTCAATTAACTTGTTAATATCAGCAACTTTTAACACGTCATATTTTTTTAGAAGTTTATAGCCATAAGGTTCCTTTTTCTTTAAATTGTTCTTTAATTGATTAATATGCAAAATTAATTGATCATATTTTAACTTGGTAAAAAATGAAGTATTTGAACCTTTTTTTTAAACAAATTGTTTAAATATTCATTAAACTTTTCCATATTCGAATAAGTAGTTAGGTACGCACTGAATCAATTAACCTGCATGCACTATACAAACGATTCGCGRTTACTAAATAGTTCATTTTTGAGAATAKGTAAAAGGCCGATTGTGGCACTGCACGATAATCACTACAACTACATAATTTAATAAAACTGATAAATCAGTAAATATAGTTATAATATATTATTTCACGTACACGCGTATATGTGGACAAGCGCCAAGCGGACATCCCCATTGTAAAAATACGATAAGAACAAACAAACTAGTGACAGATAATAATTTGAATTTATTTTAACTATGTTTTACGATTTATCATATCTCATTAAATCATCTCATCCATTATCTATATTGCCCAATATACGGAGGGCATTGTATAAAATAATATAAAATGTATAAACTGCAAAACGAGTGCTCAATAATCAATATACACAGCCGAAGCAGTCCAGTCCCCATACTATAAGCCATTCAAATAACCACCAATATCGGAAGCACCGATTTTGTTATTCTGAGGTCTGAGCAACTCTTTAAGCGCCATTAATAGTTTGAAAAATAAAACAAACCCAARTGACGCCATATATATAGGCTATATATATGCTAAGCATGCGGTTATCATCTCACTGTGATGCAACATATAATGATGGAATGCCTACTATATGACCAAGTTCGCTACAACCTCAACATGACCCAAACCCTGGACCCAACCCGGACCAGAACAAGATAGTCATCAARTTTCTTCAAACAACTAATTTAATTAAGCTAATATAATTGTATATATTATGTACAACAATATGAATTATTTGTAACTATTGCTAATGGCCTGTGCTGACGAGCTGTATGCCTGTATTCTAATAAAAAAAAATTGTATAAAATGTCCGGACAATGTATAAAATGCCAGGGCATTGTACAAAATGGCCAAATTGTATACTTTTCCCGTAACATATACACTGAAAGCTTTATATCTGTAATTCTTCCTATGCTGAACAGTCTCGGAGACCATTTCGGAGAGCAATTTCTATTCGTTGTTGTCTTGTTGAGTAACTTGGATATTTTAAAATTAAAACGTGATACTAAGAAATAATATACAGTATATTCTTAATGTCGACGTTTCCCCCACCCCTTCCKCCAGGGATGATCCTGCTTATGCGTTCATGGCCTAAAATTTGACGAAATATTCTTTCATAGAAATATTTAATTATGTTTCGCAAGATGATGGGATGCAAAATGTTATTAAAAATAAAATAAATTTTAAACGTTTATTTTATCTTTTTCTGTAAATTTAATACAATTTTCAAAATATTCTGACTCTTTTTGAGTTTTTTT